GTTGGGATGGAGTTTTTTCAAATCACTGTAAGTTTTAATAATTTCCGATGCTTCCGCTTCTGTATCGGCATCCATTTCATCTTGATCTTGAATTTTCTTTCCCTCTTTGGTGACAACGGTTTGAACTCGGTTCGAACTGGCAATTTGTGCTGCACCACCCGCTCCGTAGAAGTTTGCTAATTGATCTGGGGGCAAAGCTTCTATTGGTATATCTCCAACTTTATCGTAATCTAAGACGCTAATAGAAGCATGATCTAGGATTCCAGATGATAATAATTGCTGACGCAACTCATCTGGTACTTCATCGGGTAATTCAATATTCAAAGGCTTTTTCGACGTTGTAGGCTCAGATTTTTGCGTTGTTGTTGTTGCGCTAGTGGTTGCTCGTTCTGTAGTAGAATATGATCTGCTGACTGAACTTATAAATTTAGTCGTGCGTGATGTCATAGGGCTTGGCGCTGTTGATTGTTGATGGGAGCCTAACGAACTATGCTTTAAATATGACTCGTATGATTGATCATCAAATTGATTTAAATTTACAGGCCTTCTTGGTTCTAATTGAATCACTGGATTTATGGTATCTCTGTTTGATGACAATTGAGGTCTATGCAATTGATGTTGGAAATTATTTATACTCAAAGAGTCTTATTTTTGCTCTAAGCTGTCTTGATTAAATAATTTGCTTGGCGGTGTACAAAAAAGTGGAGCATCTTGTTGTGGTCGTCTCTGAGGAGTGACAAATTGTTGCTGGAGTGGTTGGACAGGTTGTGCTTGTGGTGTCGGTGCTAATACTGAGGACTGCGAGTTGTAGTTTTTGATGGCGTTGTAATCAAATTGTTGTTGCACTTGGTGTCTGAATTGATTTGGACTCAACGGAATATTTCTATTACTGTTATGAGGTGAAATACTTTGCGATTGTACAAATGATTGCTGTGACAATTGCTGCGTTGGTTCAGATGGCTGAACTGATGGGAAACCATGTGTAAGTAGAGGGTTTGGAACATCAGATGGCACAGACAAGTGCTGTTCAAATTTAGGAATGATTGCACGAGTTTCTCCTCCTGCTGGAATTATATGTGGATGTTGCTGTTCGAGCCCTTGCAGATTTTGGTGTTGGCTATTACTCACTTGTGGAATAGATGGTCGCTGTGAAGGTCCTGGAAAGGTAGAGATGGTGTAGGTGGTAAAGGCCTTTGATTCAAATGCTGTTGCTGACTTGTAAATTCTTGTTGCTGGCGATATTCTTGTTGTTGGCGTTGTTGTTCTTGTACTCTAAATTCATGTTGACGTTGTTCTTGTAATCTTTGTTCTCTTTGACGCTGTTCATATTGTTGCTGATCTTGTTGGACTTTCAACTCATGTGCACGTTGAAAATCTCTAATCCTTTGCTCTTGCTGTCTTCTTTCTTGTTCTCTAAATTCTCGTTCTTTTTGCTCATGTTTTCTGAGTTGAATTTGTCTCAGTTCTTGTTGTCGTGCTTTTGTGTGTTCTATACGCTTCCTGCTGCATTAGTTCGTGCTGCCGTTGCTCTTTCTTATTTCAGCTAACCTAAATTCTTCTCGTTTCACGTTGCTCTTTTAATCTTTGTTTTGTTGCCTTTGTTCAAATTCTAATCTTGTTGGCTTATAGTGTGATAAGGTGGTTGTTGTAATGGCTGATTGAATCGTGGTCGATTGAAAGGCACCCTTTGATTCTGATGGGGAAGCTGTTGATGTGTCGGAAGAGGAGAAGGCGGTGTGAATCTTTGGAAAC